GGGCTGGACATGCAGCGGGGGCAGCATGGTTGGGGGGTGAGGTCCAGGCAAGCCCCTGCCTGCGAGGCGCTGCGGGACCCACAGAGCAGCGGCCTGGCCCCGCGCCCCATCCTTGGGGGCCGGGGCTGGGGCAGGCGTGAGCGGGTCTCCGCTTGCAGCTGGGCGCCTGCCGGAGCGTGAAGGAGTTTGAGAAGCTGAACCGCATCGGCGAGGGCACCTACGGCATCGTCTGTGAGTCGGTGGGACCTCCCGGCTGGGTGCTCCTCACCTCTTCGCCGGCCGTGGCCTGGTCTGACCTCGCCTCCCGGCCCCTTCGCATGATGACCGAGCCCGCCGGCATCAAGAGCCCCCAAACCCGTTGTGGGGCAAGCGGGGGATTTGGGTGCTGTCGTGGGGTGTTAAATACTCGGAGATCACAGGCAGAGGCCGCGGAGGAAGGCAGAGCCCCCACAGTCCAGACCAGCGTGGCCGTGGGGGAAATTCCTTCCCAAATTCCCCCAAATGCCGCGAGCGGGTTTTGCACTTGGTGCCTGCTGCTGGGCCCTGCCCATGCCGCCAAAATGCCCAGGAAAGACGCAGGGACCGGGGTTCTGTGCATGAAGGGAAGGGAGAGCACCCAGATCCTGTTGAGACCTCAGTAGACGTGAGCTCTCGCCACCTCCTGCCCCATGACTGCAAGGGGAGGGTTCCTGGGTTGCTTGGTCGGTAATGGAGCAGGCGCTGCCTTGGCCCTGAGTGGTCCCAGGCCCCGTTACACGTCTCTGTTTTAGACCGTGCCAGAGATACCAGAACAGATGAGATCGTGGCGCTGAAGAAGGTGCGGATGGACAAGGAGAAGGACGGTAAGGGGTCGATGCATGGAGGGGCTGTGGGGTTGGCGTTAGCTCTGCCCAGCCTTGTTGCAGACCCCGGGGTGGGGGTAGGCATGGCATGTAACATCGGTCCCGCTCTCTGCAGGCATCCCCATCAGCAGCCTGCGGGAGATCACCCTGCTGCTGCGGCTCCGGCACCCCAACATCGTGGAGCTGAAGGAGGTGGTAGTGGGGAACCACCTGGAGAGGTAACGGTGCCCTGGAGCCTGCCTAGCACACAGGCTGGCTCCTAGGAGCAGTGCTGGTCGGGATAGGGCAGGGGTGGGGTGTGCTGACCTTGCCGCTGTCGCTGCGCACGATTGACCCTGTGTCTCCCCGGCAGCATCTTCCTGGTGATGGGTTACTGTGAGCAGGACCTCGCCAGCCTCCTCGAGAACATGCAGACGCCCTTTTCGGAGGCTCAGGTACGGGCCCCCACCAGCCGGCAGTGGGTGCTGTGACTAGGCCCCAGCACGTGTGCGCGATGATCCAGTGAGACCCCAAGCTGCACCTTGCAAAACGTTTGGGGTTTTCTTTGAGTGGGTTTTAGCCAGGCCTGGCCTGTTTGGGTGCATGAGCTTCCTTAGTCCTTTCATGGGGCTGCCTGCATAACATCTCTGGTGATGGCAGAGCTCTATGGGCTACGGAAGGGCTCCCCGTGCCTCTCGCTGTGGCATCAAGATGGGTGGGGACAGGGAAGGGAAAGGGTCAGCCAGTGAACATAACCCAGTTGGGGCACGTGAGCTGCCCCCTGCCCTGCACAGGATGGAGCCGTTACCTAGGGGCTTCCTCAGCCCACTGGGATCATGAGCCTCACCCACTGCCTGCACCGAACCCTGCTCATCTCACTGAGATGCTCTGGATCTTGGGGTTTGAGACACAAGCCAGGCCTTGTCAAGCCCTGCACCGGGTGTCTGCAGGCATTGGCCATGCTGCCGAACGTGGCCGTGGGGCTGGTGTGGAAACCTTACGTTCTGCTGTTGGTGGCTAAGGAGGCTGCTTGTGCCCCTGGCCACAGGTGAAGTGCATCATCCTACAGGTCCTCAGGGGGCTCCAGTATCTCCATGAGAACTTCATCATCCACCGGTAAGGGGGCAAGGGCAGGCACTGCGGGCAGGACGAGGGGTCCTGGAGTGGGACCTAGAGCTGCCCCCTGGGTTGCGGGTAAGGATGAGCCATACAAGGACCACTGGGTGCTGGGGTGCGCTCCTTGCAGGGCCGGGCATTGGTGACGGCTCCTCTCTGCTCTGCCGGCAGGGACCTGAAGGTGTCCAACCTGCTCATGACAGACAAGGGCTGTGTGAAGACAGGTGAGCTCCCCTGGCTGCCACCTGTTGCCCCTGCTTGCTGGCTGTGGCCCCAGGCAGCTGTGCTCTGCCCTCAATCTAATGCAGGAGCCAGCCTGTCCTCACGCCTGTCCTCTCCCTGGCAGCGGATTTTGGGCTGGCTCGTGTCTACGGAGTGCCGCTGAAGCCAATGACCCCCAAGGTCGTCACCCTCTGGTGAGTATCCTTCGCTCGGCATGGAGCGGGAGCTGTGTTCCTTTACTTGCCTGGCTGGGGAAGCGGGGCAGTGCCAACAGCTGAGCTTGTCTCCTGGGGTCTCCGCCCTTGCACTATGCATTTCCCTGCACAGTTCCAGGCCCCTGGCAGAGACTCGAGGGTCCTGTGCCGTACGCATCCGTGTAGGCCTCCCTTTCCTCCAGGAAAACCATCCGGGTCCCTCGGGATGCCACTGAGGTTGCAGTGCTGAGGGTCGAGAGGCCAGACCCTGGCCTCAAGGTGCCTCCCAGCCCTGCTGCACAGGAGATAGGAGCAAACCTGTGGGATGGGCAGGGACCATTAGATTTCCCCGTCTGGCCTCCTGCCTGGCAGAAAATTCCTTGTCCCCCCAGCCAGAGCCACATGCTGGCCTGGCATCCGGCCTGGAGTTGGAGCTGTCAGGGGACAAGGACCCCAGTATTCCTCAGAGGCAGCTCTGCTGGTTCCCGTTGCTCCTCACCAAGCATCTACCTTGTTCTCAGCTGGGTCTGACCCAGTTGCCAGCCCTGTCCTGCCTTGCAGCACCAAGCAAAGAGCCCTCTGCAAGGTACCTGGGTGTTGACATCAGCGCTTCTGGGCCATGCCAGATTGGGCCCCATCAGTCTCCCCAGCAGCCAGCCTCCTCTTTACAGTGTGTCTTGATCCATCCAGAGATCCCATCATTGCTTCCTGCCACACCATGTCAAGGGGAGAAGTCCCTTCCTCCATCACTCACTGCCAGCAGGAGTCCCCCAAGACCCCTCCCCTGCCAGCACCAGGCTTCCCGTCCTGATCTGCACCTATTACCGCAGCCTCGTGCCCAGAGCAGCGTGCCCCCACCCCACAGAGGGACTGCCCTCCAGCTGTGGGGCATCGCGACTTGCCTGGGGCTGGCCTGAATAGCAGCCTGGGTCACAGGATCATCGGGAAGCAGGGCTGGAAGGGACTTCCCTAGGCCCCCTGCCTGAGGCAGGATGAGCCCTGCCCAAACCATCCCAGGCAAACCTCTTATCTGGCTGCTTAGCAAAACAACCGTCAGCCCTGATTCAACACGAGACCTCACGCCTGACCCTGCCTTAGGGAAAGCAGTGGGGGCACGGCAGCCCATGTCCTGCTGCTGGAAAAGGTTGTTAATGGATTCTGGTGCATATCCACAAGGGGCCAGCAGGGGACTGCATGCTTAGGGGCAACCAACACAGGTTCAT